AAATGGCTATCAGCCTGTCCCAATTCTATTTATTAAAAAATTCAATTCCCCTCCCAACTGAATTCCCCACATTTATCATACATTTTCCAAAGGTACATGGTTCTATTTCTGGACTTCCTAGTCTTCTGAATTGGTCTGGATGCTCATCTATGCACCAATATCATACCTTTAAAATTATAAAGGCTTCATAATGCATTTTAATATTGAGTGCAGCTAGCCACCCACCCCACAGGACCCTGAAAATTTTAGGGTTTTCCTGAATATTCATGTTTGTTTTAAAAATGTGAACATTATGGTCAATTTGTTTAATTCCAGAAAACAGCCTGCTGGTATTCTTTGCTATGATCATGTTATATTTATAAATTAACTTAGAACTGATATCATTAGGATGTTGACACTTCGTATTAAAAACAAGACTTACTTAAGGTGTCTAGGTAACTCAGTCAGTTTGGGTGTCTGATTTTGGCTCAATTGATGGTTTCGGGCCCTGGGTCGGGCTTTGTGCTGACAGCTCAGAGCCTGGAGCCTGCTTTGGATTCTGTGTCTCTCTGTCCCTCCTCTCTTCGGGGCTCTCTGTCTCTCAAAATAAATATATAATCATTAAAAATAAGTAAAGAAATAAAATAAAAAATAACAGGACTTACTTTTCCATTTGTTTATGTTGATTTTTGTCTCTTTCAGTAACATTTTAAAGTTTTCTTCATATACATTTGTGTACTTCTGCTAAGTTATTGCCTAACCATTTTACCTGCTTTGTTGCTATTTTAGAGTCTTCTTTCCTATTACATCATCTGATTGTTATTTTAATATGTAAAGGTTACTGTATTTCTTTTTATTAATTTTGTAACATGTTATTCTTTACTAAATTTTATTATTACATTTTGCTATGATTCTCTTTGATCTTTCAGATATATATAATATAATCTGCTAAAAAAGATGTTTTTATCTTACCCTTTTAAAAATATTCTGATACCATGTTTAGTGATAGTGGCATTCTTGTCTTATTTCTAACTAGCAAGAATGCCTTAAGTGTTTCCTCATTTAAAAATATGCTAGCTTTTGTGCACATGTGCATGTACACATAACATACTTTCTAATCATGTTAAAGAAATATCCACTGATTTCTACTTCAATGAAATTTTAAATCAGAAATGGATATGAATTATGACAAATGCTTTACCGGCAACTGTAGAGATCATCATGAGATTTCTTCTTAGAAGTATCACTATAATAAATTACATTAATGGATTTCCTAATATTGAACCATTGTTTCATTCTTGTAATGAAAATCACTTGGTTGTAATGTATACTTTTTACAACATATTGTTGGATTCTATTTGCTAATATCTTATTTAAATTGTGGGGGGCCCAACTCTTGATTTTGGTTCAGGTCTTGATCTCACTGTTTGTGAGATTGAGTTCAGCATTGAACCCCATGTCAGGCTCCATGCTGACAGCATGGAGTTGGCTTGGGATTCTCTCTCCCTCTCTCTTTCTGCTCTTTCCCCACTGGTACACTTGTTCTTTCTCTTCCTCTCTCTCAAAATAAATAAACTTAAAAAAAAGATTTTTGCATCAATAGTCTCAAGTAAGACTGTTCTTTTGTTTTATTCATGTATACAATCTTTCTCATTTTCCCTATCGTTAAGCTCATTTCATAAAAATTTTTAAAAGTCTCCTTTTTCTATGACCCAGAATATTTAAGTAGAATTAAGACTATATTTAGAAAAACCATTTATGTGATGGTTTGAGTTGTGAGCTGAACTAACTTATTTTATAGAACATCATTTTAACTTGAAAGAACAACTAACAAACTATAGTTGTTTCCACTTGGGTATCTGGTAGAAATTTTCTCAAAAATAAACAAAATGAACTTCTCACTTCACGGAAAACAGTGACAGTATTTGCTGCCAATGATAAAATTCAAGCTTTCAGACAAAAATCAGAATTTTAGAAAACTTGGATCTGCAACTGTGAGCCTGACAAGCATCCCACTATTCAAAGACTTTTCTGATGAAATATGTAGTAATATATTAAAAAGTGATTTTGGGGGCACCTGGGTGGCTCAGTCAGGCAAGCTTCCGACTTTGGCTCAAGTCATGATCTCATGGTTGTGGGTTTGAGCCCCACGTTGAGCTCTGTGCTCACAACTCAGATCCAGGAACCTGCTTCAGATTCTGTGTCTCCCTCACTCTCTGCCCCTCCCCCACTCATGCTCTGTCTCTGAAAAAAAAAAAGGAATAAATACTAAAAATTTTTTTAAGTTATTTTAAAATATAATATAATAAAATGTATCAGTACCTAATATTGTATACTGAAATATGTCAATGTGCATAACTCAGTGAACCAGTATTTTCCAAATGACCAGTTTGGTCCGAATGTAAGATATTACATGTTCGTTGCATGGTGTTAAGATTGAACATTGCAACTGCTTTTAACGAGCTCCCACCTCTTGAATTTTGGTGGAATAATATTCACAATTATCTGAACAGGCTATTAAAATGCTACTGCCTTTTCCAACTACATATTTGGGTGAGTTCAGATCTTCTCCACACACTTAAACCAAAACAGTATATACTGCAACAGTTTGAATGTAGAAGCTAAGACCTTGTGCCAATCTGCTTTGTGTAAACTCGGATAGTAAGAGATTATAATTTTTTTTTAAATGTATTACTTACTTCTGAGAGAGAGAGAGAGAGAGAGAGAGAGTAGGGGAGGGTCAGAGAGAGAGGGAGACACAGAATCTGAAACAAGCTCCAGGCTCTGAGCTAGCTGTCAGCACAGAGCCCGATGTGAGGCTCGAACCCATGAATCGTGAGATCATGACCTGAGCCAAAGTCAGACGCTTAACTGCCTGAGCCACCCAGGTGCCCCAGAGATTATAAAACTGTAAAACACTACCACTCTTCTCACTAAATTGTTTTTATTTTGGAAAATATAACTATTTTTATAAGTTATATTAATATTTAATGAGCTTACTGTTTTCAAATAAAATATATTTTTTCATAAGTTATAGTAATACTTAATGGGCTTATTGTTTTTGAATAAAACATAACTATTTTTCATAAGTTATATTAATGTTTAATGGGCTTATTGTTGTTTTCAAATGAACTAATAAATCTTTTTTAAATTTCTTGGTTTTAAATGCTAATACTATAAGGATTGATAACTATAATACACATAAAATAAAGCTTTTGGGAAGAGAGCCTTCAATAATTTTTTTTAATGTTTATTTTTGAAAGAGGAGGAGAGAGCATGTGAGCAGCGGAGTGGCAAAGAGAGGGGAATAGAGGATCTGAATCTGGCTCTGTGCTGACAGCCTGAAGCAGGGCTGAACTCAAGAATCAGGAGATCATGACATGAGCACATGTTGGACGCTTAATCGACTGAGCCACCCAGGCGCCCCAATACTTCAAAATGTAAAGGAGTTCTGAATCCAGAAAGTCTGAGGACCACCAGGTAATTCCTCAGGAAAAGCTCGTGTTCACATTTATTTTTTGTCAGTAGCCTTTATACTTGAACACAATGTAAGCAGAAAAATATAAGGAGAAAGTTCTTGGGTCATGTTTTCTTTTTGAAAATCTTGAAAATGCTCTTTCCCTGTTTCTAGCAGAAAATGCTGCTGTAGGGGTGCCTGGGTGGCTTAGTCGGTTAAGCGTCCGACTTTCGCTTAGGTCACGATCTCGCGGTTCGTGGGTTCGAGCCCCGCGTCGGGCTCTGTGCTGACTGCCAGCTCAGAGCCTGGAGCCTGTTTCAGAGTCTGTGACTCCCTCTCTCNAAAAAAAAAAAAAAGAAAATGCTGCTGTAGAGAAGTCTGATGGCAGTCTACTTTTCTTTCCCTTATAAATGATTTGTATTTTTTTTGCCTGGATGTTCAAAGGGCTTTTTCCTTACTTTTAAGACCAATTGTTTTATTAGAAAATGTTTTGGCTTTTGCTGTTCTGGGTCAGTTTTCTCCTACACACGGTGTGTATGTAGAGTTAAGCCTTATTTTATTTCAGGAAAACTTGTTCCAAGTTTTGTCTTAAATATTTGTTCTGATACATTGCTCTCTGGTTTTCTTTGGGGGAATAAATGTGTGTGTGAGTGTGTGTGTCTTCTGCTTGTTTTCTGTATCTAACACTTTCTCTTAAAATCTTGTAGTTTTTTTAAAGAAAAAAATAGTATTTTTAAAGAAAAACTATTCTTTCTGCCCTTAATTGTGCTTTTTTCCCCTCTTTTTTTAATTCTGAGAAAAGTTATTTTTTCCCGATATTTGTTAGTTCTTATTAAAATTTCTTTTTAATGTTTATTTTCAGAGAGAGACAGAGCGTGACTGGGAGTGGGGCAGAGAGAGGGAGACACAGAATCCCAAGCAGGCTCCAGGCTCCTACATGTCAGCACAGAGCCCTGCGCGGGGCTGGAACTCACGAACCATACATAGTCGAACCATACATAGTCAACGAGCGAGCCACCCGGGCGCCCATTGTTACTTCTTATTTAATATCTGTTCTCTATCCATATTACTTTGTAACTTTTCTATTTCTGATTTAGACTATTCTTTCAAACACCCATTATCTTCTTTCACTTAAAAAAAATATATATATTAGGTTGAAGCTTTCATCTGCTTTGTGACCAAATTTTTCTAGTGTGTTATTATCTATAGGAACATTATTAGGTTTGTTCTTACCCTGTTTCCACAGCAACCTGAATGGGATTAGACCATATTCTTCACTTGTTCCCATTCTCAAAGGAGGAAAAATTTCCTCAACTACTTAGAAGAGGCACTCTTGCCTCTTGCCGGCTAACCAAGAGCCCGACTTTTGCGCCCAGTACGCAGCCGAGAGCTCTGCGCAAGCCTCGCGCCCACCCCAGGCCCCGCCCACTCACTTAACGCATCGCCCCGGCCCCACCCACTCACTTAGCACAAGGCCCGGGGCCCCGCCCACGGCTCTCGCACGCCGCCGCGGGCCACGCCCAGTCTCTTGTTTCTTCTGGTGTCAGGCTTGCAGTGTATTTTCCCGCCATTTCCAGCTCTTCGTGAGGAGAACTGGATGATTTAGGTGAGATTCCAGGGCTTATGAGATTTTGGCGGTCAAGCGGGCAGGGAATGTAGTTAGAAAAGAATTCTTGTCTTGAGACTGCTAAATTCTCCTCACCCCTCGGAAACCGGCAAGCCTTGCTCTCACAAACCCTTAACTGCCTTTCTTATAAGGGCCAACCTATTTGATTAAAATTGTTGTTGCAGCCCTTATACAAAGTAGAGTATAGATAGTGGGGCCTTTTCAGCAATACTTCAGACTCACCTGGTAGAAGTTTGTGTGTATTGTGAGCAATAAATCAAAACCTAAAGTTCATGCATGGCTCTGTATAAAGCCTTTGCATTGAACTGATTATTCAGCAAGTTTTTTACTGTGAATCGTGTTAAAAATGTTAAAAGTGTCGTGCAAACTAGCCAGCATTCTTTTAAGCAAACCTCTCCATAAACTACTTAAAAACTTTTTTTAAAGAAAAACTTGGGTGGGGAAAAAAGTTACCTTCTGTTTCGATTATTTTCCTAATGTATTTTTAAAGGAAATCAAACTAATATTATAGTCTTAAATAACATATTCATGGAATCAAACATGTGAATTCATTATATGTATGAACTAATCACAGCTCAGTGTCTATGTATGAACTAATCACAGCTCATAAACTCACTTATGTATTTTTAATATGTCAATTTCTTCATTTAAAAATCTTACAAAGTCACATTTACATAATTACGTATTTCACCAATTATATGGAATTAGTATTGACAGAAAATATAGGATGTCTGGGTGCCATGTCTAACACAAAGGCGAACCTGATGTGGTAGCAAGAACCTGACACGGAGTAAGAAGACTCAGGTTCTAATCCTAGAGCTGGCATTAACTAAAGATGGAACTTTGGATAAGTCATTGAATTTCAGTGAACATCAAGTATATCTTTTGAAAAATGATGGGATTGGGCAAAATGTGAAATTATTTTTGAAGCCCCTCCCAGATCTATGATTCTGAGTGTCTGTAGAGTAGAAGGGAAAGTGTACAAGCTGAGACAGCGTTATCATTCACAAACCATGTTTTCCTTATATAAAATATGTTCCAAGTGGCTAATATGAGAGCTTCTATTATTTGGTCCAGTACTTCCTCCTTGTTCCATCTCACTGTACCACAGGGAGCTGTTAGGAAAGAAATAAACAGTTCTTCTTTTTTTTTTTTTAATTTATTTATTTAGTTTGAGAGAGAGAGAGCACATGCAGGAGGTGGGGAGGCAGAAAGAAAGAGAATCCCAAGCAGGCTCCATGCCATTAGCACAGAGCCTGTTGTGGGGCTGAAACTCACAAACAGTAAGATCATGACCTGAGCCAAGATCTAGGGTCGGATGCTTACCTGACTGCCACCCAGGTGCCATGACAGTTCTTTTTTTTTTTAAGGTTTTTTTTTTTTTCCCGATTACAAATTGGTATGTGAATTAATCTAGAAAACTTGGAAAACAAAACAAAAAAAATGTAAAGGTGACACACACACAAATACCCATAATCTCACCATTAAAAAAACCTCATTGTCCCATTACTTTTCTAAATATAAATATATACATATATACTTTTCTAAATATATATATTTTCTTTTTAAAAAATGGTAAAATAGAGTTTGCAGTCTGCTTTTTTCACTTCAGAGGTATATGTACTTCTTACAACCAACAAGAATACCCACAGTAATAGTGCCTACATCCCCAAAAGATAACAGAAGCTAAGCAAACATTGTTACATAGATTTTGGAATAGCTATAATTATATTATGCTCCAGGGTATTTTTAATCTTTGTCTTTATCTGTTCCAGAATGGATTGGTTTCACTGTAACTGGTGTTTCCGGAAAGATGGAGACAATTTCTTTGTCACCAGCTGTGGCCATATTTTTTGTAAAAAGTGTGTGACTCTGGGTGAGTGACTTAACTGTTTTTAAATTCAGGCAAAAATATTTTTAACCTAGTAATAATTATTAGCCATTTCTCTGTGTGGCTTGGGATAAAAATCACATATTGGGCCAAAGGTGGTATAGATACAGTAGGAGACTGTTGATTATGGAAATTTGAGGTACTCATTAATAAAGAATGATTTAGCAAATGGAATATCTATTACTTGAACACCAGAAGGTACTTGTCAGTGTTTTGACAAGTAGCAGGGAAAGCCAAGGTTATCAGACGAATTAGAGGAAAGGGGAAAAAAATAACAGTAATGAATAGGAATTGGGGAAAGTTTGGTTGATAACAAGAGTCATTCTAATGGGAAGTGGTCTAGCTTGTGAAATTAATTTGATTAGAAATGATGATCATGATGATGGTGGTGGCGGTGGTGGTAGTGATACATTTGCAGTTTAAAAAATATTTTCCACATGTACAAATTTTATGTAGCCTTACCACAATTCCAGGAGGTAATTATTAGTAGACCCATTTTATAAATAAAGGACTAGTTCAGATAGGATGATTTGACCAAGTTCTTGCAGCTGTTAAGTCTAGAAATTAGACCTGAATTTAAGAGTTTTTTTTTTTTTAATGCCAAAATACTTACAAGGTATAGAAATAGCCCAGAAGAGGGATTTAGGATAGGGTGCTTTAATTAGGGAAGATTTCATAGAAGAGCTGTTGCCTCAGTAGAATTTTGAATAATAACTGGAGTTGCCAAGTGGATAAGGCAGGGAAGATCATTTTAGTTTCAGAGAACATCATGTGTAAGGGCATGCATACCACCTTATAAAACCATACTGCAGGGGACTGGTAGAGCATAGAGAATAAAGTAAGAAATGGTTAAGAGATGAGGCTGAAGAGGCAGGCAATGGACAGATGAGGGGAGGGTATTATATAGAAAACTGAAGGGCCTGAACTTCATCCTTCAGTGATGAAGAACTGGGGAAGTTTCTTTGTTTTGTGTTTTTCTTAAATAGAAGAATGACTTGTACTTGGCTAGCTCACTCTGGCAATAATATGGAGGGAAAGCTGGGAAAAGCCTTTAGTCCTCAAGGAGAGAAGAGTAAGGTTACTGGAGAAGATCTTTTTCTCTCTTTGGATTTCATGACCCTTTTAAGTTATGTGCTAATGTAACAAAACCATTTACTATGGTAACAGCAGCTCACCTTGAAGATGTTGGTCTTGGTAAAGCATACGTCATGTGATATTTTCTCTTGATGTGGCATTTATCTTAATCAATTACTAGCACCACTACTAAAATTTCAACTTAAATGTTAGGAATTTTAATATTTACATCTTTCGGATTCGATTAATTAGAGAATGAGAGCAGGAGAGCTTCAGAGAAAGTTCCAAGAATATTAGCAAAGTGAGAACCGGGCAGGAGTAATGGAGTTTCTTATAGTATCTACAGTGTGCCTACTGTCAGGTAGGTGGGGAGAAAAAGAGCATTGGTACTCTTGTGTTCTTCCTATTACTCTCGTAAATGTACTCTAATACTCTTGCTGGGGGGGGGGGGGGGGAGGTTAGAACTGCCCTACATCTGCAGAAGAAAGTTGAGAATTTATAAAGAAGAAATAGGTAGAGGTACAGTGTAAAAGCCTTACTTGTCATCAACATACTAGTTTGGAAATACTGATTTTGAGAACAGAGCTCAAGATGTCCTTTCATAGCACAAAAATACTCTAAATTTACTAAGAGCCTGTTTCTTGCTCTACTTGGCTATTACCATGTTTAGGAAGAACTTACCTCTTGCCCATAAGAACTGAACATTTTTTTCCCTTCCCCCACTTAGAAAAATGTGCTGTTTGTGGAACTGCCTGCAAGCATCTGGCTCTTTCTGATAATGTAAGTTTTTCTTCTCCTACCACAAACCATCTTATCCCATTCCTGGCCTGTGGGAAGTATATAAAGAGTACAGTTGATGAGTGACTAAGCACTGAAATTTTTAAAAAAGAAAGAGAAGAAAAAACACTTGCAGATGGCAATTGTTATATATTTTTTAAAAAGGGTAAACAGCAGACAGAATTGTTTGTGGCTGTTGCTATAGAAGCACGAGGTAAGGAGGATTAAAACATATAGTCTATATCTCCTAGGGCAGTCGTGAGCATCCTCATATTTAACATAGTGAAATAGTACCCCGTGCTTTAGGAAGCTGCAGTACATCCTTTGCCATATTTGCTGGTATTTTAAAATTTTTTTTTAATGTTTTATTTATTTCTAGGAGAGAGAGAGAGAGACAGCGTGAGCAGGGGAGGGTCAGAGAGAGAGGGAGACACAGACTCTGAAACAGGCTCCAGGCTCTGAGCTGGCAGTCAGCACAGAGCCCGACGCGGGGCTCGAACCCACGAACCGCGAGATCATGACCTAAGCGAAAGTCGGATGCTTAACCGACTAAGCCACCCAGGCGCCCCCAATTTGCTGGTATTTTATTTCATTCTGTTGTGGATATGCTCAGTGTTTGTCTTATTCTCTTTATAGCTGAAACCTCAGGAAAAGATATACTTCAAAAGTCCTGTGGAGACAGCTTTGCAGTATTTTAGTCACATCTCTCAGGTATGAGACACAAAAGTGAAGAAAATCAGATTCTCCAGGCAAATTCTAATTGCATCTTTTTTTTTTTAAAATCAAAGATTCTCTTTAGACTGCATTTGTACACAACGGAGAGAATTGGCTGTTCTGTTTGCTTTCTTCCCTGATGATACAGATCTCAACAGTTAACTTTTTTACTGACCCCAAACCTGTGATAGGCTGTAAAAACCACTATGTAGCTAATATCCTGCCTTGTACTTCCTGGCTATGGTAAGTAATTTTTAGGAATAAAGAAGGTTCTAAGAGATTTATCATCTTTCGTGCAGATTAACGAATCTTCTAAAAATTGCTTTCAAAAAAAGCAAAATTTTAAAAAATAAAAATAAAAATTGCTTTGGATATATAGGCCTGACCCTATAATCAGTGGATTTAGTGGGCTAGCTCTCAAATTTTTGCTTAAAGACCTATATTGAAGAAGGGATTTCTTGGTCCCTGTTCTCATTTTTCAGTAACCTTTTTTAGTAATGCATATATATTTCATTCTTTATTTAGTGTTTACAGTTGGTTGCCTGAATTTTAGAAAATACTTTTCTTCAGGTGCCTGAGTGGCTCAGTTGGTTAAGTGTCCAACTTGGGCTCAGGTCATGATCTCACAGGTTGTGAGTTCGAGCCCTACAGTGGGATCTGTGTTGACAGCTCGGAGCCTGAATCCTGCTTCAGTTTCTGTCTCTCTTTCTCTCCGCCCTTCCCCTGCTTGTGCTTTGTCTCTGATTCTCTCTCTCTCTCAAATATAAATAAACATTTAAAAAATTTAAATATATTTTTCTTAACTTTTTAAAAATTTTTATTTACTAATTTATTTTAAATTTTATTTAATTTGAGAGAGAGAGAGAACAAGCAGGAGAGGGGGCAGAGAGAGATAGAGAGAGAGAATCCCAAGCAGGCTCCATGCCATCAGCTCAGAGCCCGATGTGGGGCTCTATTCCATGAACCATGCAATTATGACCTGAGTCAAAAGCAAGAGTTGGATGCTTAACTGACTGAATCACCCAAGTGCCCCAATAGTTTTCTTTCCCTAAAGCATGATATATTTGTATTTCGTTGACTTGGTCAAGAGCCATAGGAATGTAGAAGGAAGTGGTGAGAAGACAGAATAGTCATTTGAGAGTTTCCAAATTGTGAAAACTTTGGTTTTCCCCTTTGAGTTTCCAGTTCTTTTTTTATATGTATACAAAAATTTTTTAACGTTTTATTTTATTTTTGAGAGAAAGAGAGAGTACGAGTAGGGAGTGGGGTAAGGGAAGAGAGAGAGGGAGACACAGAATCCGAAACAGACTCCCAGCTCTGAGCTGTCAGCACAGAGCCCAGGGCAGGGCTTGAACTCGTGAGCTGTGAGATCATGATCTGAGCCATAGTCAGATGCTTAACCAACTGAGCTACCCAGGCGCGCCCCCCCCCCCCCACTCTCAAGTTCTCCACTGAGATTATTTCATAGCCTAATAGAATTTCTATCTTGGCATGTTTCTTGAGATTTTATCACAGTTTTTCTTCTCCATTCCTATGAGTGTATTCTTTTCCTAAGCATAAAGATGATCCGTTGTCATATTCTGGCTGAAGATAGTAGATTTAATTTTTCTTTGTTGTCTCAGCCCTCAATTCTAACCCTGGTAATAAAGGAAGGAGGATTAGGCTTTCAGTACATTCTGCTTTTAGCTGCTTGGGTGAGCCACCATATTTGAGATACTATTTAACATTATGGAGAGATAAAATCTAGCTGAGACTCAGGGAGAAATGAAAACAAGGTCACATGAACCAGAGAAGGAGCAGACCTTTGGTTAATAACTAAACCCAGGATTAGTTAATGATCAGTAGAGAAATTATATGTAGTCTGAATTCTAACCTGCCTAATCAAGGAGCCAATTACACATGGTCAAATAATCAAGATAAAATAAATGGAAAGGGCCAGTTAATCATCACTTTAGTGAAGGGCCAGTTTGGTAAAGTCAGCAATGTCTGAAAATGTGTTTTTCTAGTCTGTGAAGTTGAACAACTGATCCAAGTAATTTCTGGATTGCCTCATTCAGGCTTCTGCTCAAATTTTTCTTCCTCAGTCAGAGTTTTACTGACTCTCATATCTCAAATGGTAGCTCCAGCACTGTCTACTATCTTACCCTGCTTTATTTTTCATCATAGCTCTTATCTCTAACATTATATACTTGTTTACTGTCTGAATCCTGCACTAAAATGTAGGCCCCATAAATTCAGGGATTTGGTAGGGTTTTTTTTATTTTTATATACCCAGCTCTTTGGATAATTTTTAATATGCAGTGGACACTCAAAAATTATTATATAAATGAATGGCATGTTGGTATAAATATCCACTTGTGTTTTAATCATCCCAGATCTCTATAATGACCTGGAAGGGCTGTTTTCTGCTGTCCTACTCCATGACCAATAGTTAATCACACTACCTGTTTTGAATTCTTACCTCTAGATAAAACTATCTTTGGGGATTGGAGAGCACCTTATAGACCTGTGAGCTTTCTTCTAATCCTAGGTCATAGACTATACCCTTATCCATAACTAGCCATCTTTCAAATGCATACCACTAATGGTTCCTTCTTTGGTAAACTCTTACCTGATTCCTGTAGGCACATTTTTGCACTGACTTTTGTAATCCTATCCCACCTGCTCTTAACTCTGTGAAAGTGTTTTATTTGTTCTTTGTCTGTGTCTCTCAATAAAACAAAACCTTTAAAAGACAGGTATCAGCTTTGTATTGCCTAATGGCTAATGAGGTACCTGGTACAATTTCAGTAAATGAGAAATGTTTGTTAAATGAATGAATGCGCCTTAAGGCTGGAAGGGAGGAAGGGGGGGAGTGATTCATGGTAAGGTCAGTGAGAGGCTTGAACATATAGGAACTTGTAGGTCATGGTAGGGTTTTAAGCACAGAAATGTCATTATCTGATATATAATTTTATTTATATTTTATTTAATTATTTATTTTTATTATTTTTTTTAGTGTTTTTTTCTTTAATTTATTTCTGAGAGAGAGAGAGATAGCATAAGCAGGGGAGGGTCAGAGACAGAGAGAGATACAGAATCCGAAACAGGCTCCAGGTTCTGAGCTAGCTGTCAGCACAGAGCCCGACACGGGACTCGAACCAACAAACTGTGAGATCATGACCTGAGCCAAAGTTGGACGCCCAACTGACTGAGCTACCCAGGTGCCCCAATTTTTTTATTAATGTTTTATTTATTTCTGAGAAAAAGAGACAGGCAGCATGAGCAGGGGAGGGTCAGAGAGAGAGGGAGACACAGAATCAGAAGCAGGCTCCAGGCTCTGAGCTAGCTGTTAGCACAGAGCCCGATGCGGGGCTCGAACCCACAAACTGTGAGATCATGACCTGAGCCGAAGTTGGATGCTTAACCAACTGAGCCCCCCAGGTGCCCCTTATTTATTTATTTTTTTAAATGGATGTTTATTTTTGAGAGAGGGAAAGAAAAGAGTGTGAGCAAGCAGGGGAGGGGCAGAGAGAGAGGGAGACACAGAATCCAAAGCAGGCTCCAGGCTCTAAGCTGTCAGCACAGAGCCTGACATTGGGTTTGAGCTCATGAATCCATGAGATCATGACCTTAGCCGAAGTCAGACACTTAATTGACTGAGCCATCTGATATATAATTTTATTAAAAAATATTTTAATGTTTATTTATTTTTGAAGGAGAGAGAGACAGAGTGTGAGTGGGGGAGGGGCAGAGAGAGAGAGGGAGACACAGAATCTGAAACAGGCTCCAGGCTCTGAGCTGTCAAAGTCAGGCTGTGAGATCATGACCTGAGCTGAAGTTGGACGCTTAACCGACTGAGCCACCCAGTGGTTTAAATTTTAAAGTTCTCTAATTTTAAAAGAGCATCTGGCTGCTGAGTGGAGAATGGATCATAGAGAAGTTAAGAGTAGAAGCAGGGTGACTATTAAAAGGCTATAGGAGAAATCTAAGCAATACTTCTTTTTTTTTTTTTATATAATTGACATAATATTTTATTTGTTTTAGGTACACGATGTAATGATTCAGTATTTATGTATGATGTGAAATGATGACAATAAGTCTTGTTAACTTCCATCACCACACATAGTTACAAAACCAATATTTTTCTTGAGATGAGAATATTCTGGAACTACTTTCTTAGCAACTTTCATATCTACACAAAAAATATTATTAACTTCAATCACTATGCTGCACATGACATTTCAAGAACTATTTATTTTATAACTGGACTTTGTACTTTTTGCCCCCTTTACCCATTTCACCTATATAATATAGCTTTCAAGATATTTTTCTTTTTATTTATTTATTTATTTATTTATTTATTTATTTATTTTACAAATAGTTTATTGTCAAATTAGTTTCTACTAAGCAATACTTCTTGAGCTAAAATGGTAGCAATAGAAATGGAGAGCAGTAGTCAAATCTGAGATATTTTCTAGGAAGAACTGTTGTTGATTTGGATGTGGAAGATGAGAAAAAGAGGGAAATCAAAGAAGATGTCTGGGTTTTTGTCTTGTACAGTTGAGTAAGACGATTGTACTCTTTACCAAGGCTGAGAAGACCATTTGAGGGAAAATACCATTTTGGATATTAGGTTATAGATGCTTCTTAGAACTCCTGGGAGAGAAATCACAAAGACAGATAAATTTACCATTTTGAAGCTCAGGACATAGGTCAAGGATGGAGCTCTAAGTATAGAGCTCATTAGGATATAGATAGTTTTTAAAACCTTGGGACTAGATGAGATCACCCAGAGGAGCCCCTTCAAAATCCAGTGATTAGGTGGAAGAGGAAGAGAAGTTAGCAAAGAGCAGCAGTGACTGAGAGGAAACAAGGAGAGTGTGATATCACAGGAAACTAAGAAAGAGAAATGTTTCAAGAAGAAATCATCAGTGCCCCCCCCTTCAGACATATATCCATTTGCTGACTTGATTTCTTCACTAATCTTCCATATGTCCCAAGCCAAACTCAGTATT